TCTCTGGCTGAGCCTGAGAACTAACTGGTCAAATGACCTGTTCTCCAAACTTCCAAGCCCCGGGGCTTAAAGTGAACTTGAGTGGCCCTAACGATTCCCGACTCCTGTAAATTAACAATCCCTACATTTTAGTCAAAAGGGGGTATCACAACCTTCAGCTGCAATAGGGGCTCGAAGGAGAGAGGAATGAGGTCCTGTCCTGCGATGATGTGAAGGGACGGGGTCCTGAGTGAAGGCTTTGGTGACATAAGGGAGTGGTTGATGGCTCTGAGAGTAAACACGTGGTGGGAAAAAAAATCTCAAATTGCTCCCAGCTTAATCAAAATTCCCTCTAGACAAAACAAGTACCCCCAGGAAAGCAGTGGTGATTTTTGAAGCTTTTTGGCAAACAAATGCTTACTTGGAAACTCAACATGTATAGAGGTAGAAACAGAGTGACTCTAACTGAAACGGGTCAGGGGCAGGAGTCTCTACACCCTCCCAAGCCACTAAAGGGGCTTGAAGAATTTCCTACTGCATCTCAGAAACCCAATAAACTAAGTAACATTTCAAAACTTGATCTACAGGGCCGGCCCGGTGGCGCACTGCTACAGTGCGCTGCTTGGGAAGCGTGGCGGCGCTCCNTGAAACGAGTCAGGCAGAGAAAAAGAAATACCACATGTTCTCACTCATTGGTTGGAGCTAATAAATAAACAAATTAATTCACCTACAAACACACACAAAAATAAAACGGGGGGGGGGAAGAAGATATAACAACTATACTTTTTTGAAGTTGTTACAACAAGCAAACAGAAAGGACATTCTGGGGTGGGAGGGGAGAGAGGGAGGAGGGAGGGACGTGTCGGTGATGGGCCATAGTAGTCATATACATTGTATTGACAAAATAAAAATTTAACGAAAAAAAAAAATAAAAATGATTATTTTCATCTTTTTATTTTCTTCTTTCTGCTTTGTAAGAATTCTTCTGTTATTGTTCTAATTTCTTGAGTTCAATAAAAAGTTCATTTAGGGCCAGCCCTGTGGCTCACTCGGGAGAGTACGGTGCTGGTAGTGCCGAGGCCATGGGTTCGGATCCTATATAGGGATGGCTGGTGTACTCACTGGCTGAGCAATCCCCTTACTGGTTCCAAAAAAAAAAGTTCATTTAATTTTATTTTTCTTGTTTAGTAATGGGAGCTTTTAAAGCTAAGAATTTGCCTCTAACTGCTGCTTTCGGTGCATTTGATATATAGGGTTTCTTATTACAGTTATTTTCAGAAGGGTCTATTCTTTTAATTACACTTATTTTCTGATCCAATAATTATATATGTCAATAATTAATTTTGTTATGAAACTTCAGTTTTATTGTACTGTAAGAGAAGGTGGTCTTTACAAATTTTAGTAGGTTGATCTAGTGAGCTTTATTTTTCAGTTTAGATATTTTTTTATTTCATGGGTGCTTTAAAGAGTTTTTAGTCTCAATTAGCTATATATATTAAATTAATCTTATTATGTTTCTGTGAAATTAACCTTCTTTTCAGCAGTTATTTCCATATACTTTTTGTTGTTGTTGTTGACCAGTAAGGGGATCGCAACCCTCAGCACAGTGTTGTCCGCACCACGCTCAGCCAGTGAGCGCACCAGCCATCCCTATATAGGATCCGAACCCACGGCCTCGGTGCTACCAGTGCTGCACTCTCCTGAGTGAGCCACAGGGCCGGCCCATATTTCTACATACTTTGACTTAACAGTAGAACATAAAAGCTTATGAAATTTCTTCATTGTGATTTATAAGCATTATTGGTATACTTATCCACTTTGAATGTGAAAAGGTGGCATTAAAATAAGTGATAAAGGGGCTTATTCTCTAAATATTACTAGGGAAACTGATAAACTGGGGAAAAAACTAAAGTTTAATTCAAGTTCCCATACCAGAATAAATTTCATATGGATTAAAACATTAAGTGTAAATCATGAAACTATGAATTTGGAGGAAAATACAGATGTATATTTGTCTTTTGCAATATGACAAAAATTTCTATGTACCAAAACATGTTAGGCATATGAACACAAATAGAAAATAGATATACTATCAAAGTAGAAATCAAAGTATTGCATCTACACCTTCTCCTATATTTCCTGACTTGGTAAAGAACATCCTAAAACATCTTCTCAGCCTTGAAAATTGAAAGTATTACCTTTGTTTTGAACTCAGTTATACTGCTCAGTCTCCAACTTCAGGTCTTTTATTATACCGCTGTTCAATGTGCTAAGCCATTTAGTCTTTATCTTTCAGAATATGTATGATTCTTAGGTTTGACTGTCACGGTCAGCCCTCCAAATTTCCCTACACTCTGTGAGTGTCTTCTGATTTTCTTTGGTATCAAGAATATTACCGAAACCTTCTAAACATCTAATTTTAGCTATAGTGGGTTTTTTTTAATTTGATGAGACTCTCTAATTCTGACCAATTCTCTTATTACTATGGGCTGATTCATTTAATAGAAGCAATTTCTACTTTCATCTTTTGAAAGTACAAAGCACATATATTCTAAGCTTCGGTTCTAATAAATGAAGTTCCTATTTCAGGAAGAATATCTTCCTGTATGTTTTTAAGGGCATGCTTCTCTTCTCTTTTGCTGCCATTTTAAAATAGATGTTATGTTACTGATGCTTACTTTTATTAAAATAGGATGGATTTATCTATGCCCAGTGGTGAAAGACAAGTCCAGTTGTCAATTTTCAGAAGAAAAGTGGGATTCATTTGGCATCTCTTATAATTGGCAAGTGATACTATCATTTTCTTTGGGAGCAAAGAGAATCATTCAGGCTTATAGAATAAGAGGGAGAGCTTTAAGGTTTACTTCTTCTATTTGAGGAACTCCCTATACACATATGCAAATGGAAACCCCAAGAAATGTCTCTGCTCATTACTATTGAGGAATTAAAGACACATGGTAAATAACCAAAACTGGACACAAAACCCTGTCTGAAAGAAAGCTGATGGCACAGAGATGCTATTATCCATCTCGACTCAGTAGCAAAAGACCTCATCTATTTCCTGCTAGAAGTCTGAACATGCTCTGTTCTCATTTCTTAGTTCAGTCATATAAATATTTTCAATTTATTTATTTATTTATTCATTTATTCATTCATTCCACAGACATGAATCTTCACTATCTCCCAAATGGCTGTTTTAACTGCATATATGTACCCCACCCTCTTTTTCGCCTACCTTGTGTATTTTAAAGTGACAATGTTACTCATTTTTTAAAGTTGTTAACATATATAAAATTGATATTACAAGTACCTTTTCAAGAAGTCACTGACAGGAGCTGTTATCTCCACCATAAGTTGAAACCTTTCATCATTCATACATTTTAGCATAACTTGTGTAAAAAATTCCAGGAATCTAGGTTGCTGCTTAAACTTCATAACTGTAAAAACAAGAAAGTTCATATGTAGTTATCAATACCTTGAGTTATTGGCGCTGAAAGATTACTAATGCTAATAGTCATTTTGGTCCACCAGGCAAATTTATTAACCTGCTTTTCTGATTTCTCGCTTTTAAAAAAATATAGGAATTAGCATGGTGGGAACTATTGTTTTTGTAACATCAACCAATCCTTCACAGTCTGTATTTCATTTATTATCTAAATATCTAAGTGTTGGGAAAGATTTCATTTAAGTTTGCTTCTAACATATGACTAATTGTGGAAAAAATTGCTGATAATTATAGTAACTAGTTACCTTAATATTTATTATATTTCACTCTGAATTCAGCAATAATGTTGCTATTTCCTTACAAAACTTAAAAATCACTAATGTGTTTTTCAATGCTCTAGTTTTTGTAAGCTTCATAATGACACTATTCACTACAAAATAAGCCACCATCAAGTTTCTGTCTTTCCAGACTTTAAATCAGGTACATATTCAGGTCTTTTTTCTTACTTGGCAATCAAGATACTGCATTATTCTGAGTGAGTAAAAACCCAAAATATTCTGCCTAGAAGTAGACAACAGAAACAAAATTCACATAATAAAAGATCTTCAGTGGTGGTAAGTCAAGTGGACAGAATATACACATTCAGGTCACCTACCTTCCTTCATGGCACCTTTGACCGACCAATTTAAAACTATAGGGTAAAGAAATATAGGGTCCTCTGCTCCTGAGAGTTCAGTTGTAACATCTAAGGTTAAAAAAATTGATAAGTTGTACGTTCTGTTTAACATGAATAAACAAAAATTAAAAAAATTCTTTGGAGAAGATGAAAAATAGGAAAATATTCAAGTATTCACTTTAAATTATGTGACTTAAAATATCAATTACATCATTACATTTTGGAGAGAAAAGAATCCTTTTATTCTTCCCCCTAAAAGCTACAGGGTCCACCACCAATTAGGCAAAGAGTTTTGAAGGCATGATTCTTATCGACAGCTGCCATATATCAACAAACCCCAGACTCAGAAACCTACCAATTACATTAACTCCATTTTAATAAAATTATCTTTAAAAGGTGGTAAAGTATAGCACAGCCACTGGAGCCAGACTGGCTGGATTCAAATTCTAATCCTGACAATTTTTAGCTATGAGACATTTGGAAGTTAGCTTCTCTGTGCCTCAGTTTCCTTATCTTTAAAATGGGGATAACAACAACATCTTCCTCATATAATTGTTATATATGAATTATATAAGTTTTAAATGTGTATAAAATACTTAAAATAGTGCCTGGCACACAGAAAACACTGTACAAAACTATTATTTTTATTATTGTTGTTATTAAATTTAGCTAGTAATATTATATCATTTCTTAGTAAAATGTTTTTACTGAAATTACAAAAAATACATATTCCCCATTTCTAGAGCACTTTACATTTTAAGAATTATACTTTTTTATATGTAACAAGACAATTACAGTTTTCCCAAAACTAGGCTTACTGATTGTGTGAATAATAGAACATTGGGTTCAGTTCATAAATTCAGCTTGAAAAAGACATGGAAAATATTGAAAAAGAAAGAGATTCAAGTCAGGGAATCCTGAAACAGTATGACCACCAAGATACAACTGAGGCACACAGTAAGAGAGGTGAGGCATGGGCATGGAATTCTACAAGTACCCTCAGTTCCCAAAAGACCTTGGGGCCAAAAGTGGAGCCACACGCTTGGGAGAAATTTGGGTACTCTCTTGCTGTAGAAGATTCAAAGTACCTCCTTTTTAAAAAATGTTGCAAAACTAATCACCAGAAACCAAACCAGTTTTCTAAGCAGCTTTCCAAACTGCAAATTTCAAACTACCAATCACTGCATTTATACATTGGTCCATTATGAAATTACTACAGTACAATATCCTAAAATTAAACTAATCTTCCACTCTACTTTCTACTCTAAAAGGCTATTGTTCAAGCCACTTACACATTAACACCCCTCACACTGTCCCTTTCTCAGTTACATTTTTGCGTTTAGAGCAGTGGTTCTCAATTTTGTGCCATGCCCCCTTCCCATCAAGGATACTGGTGCGGATTGAATTGTGCCCTCTAAAATCCATGTATTAGAAACTTAATTCCCACTGTGACAGTGCTAAGAGGCTGGGAAATCCTATTATGGCAATCGAAAGGTGGGGCCTTGAAGAGGTGACTAGATTGTGACAACCCCGCCCTAGTGAATGGATTAATCCATTGATGGTTTGACGGTGGTCATGGGTGTGGTTCTGGTGGCTTTAAAGGAAAAGGGAGTGAGAAATTCTCTGTCTCTCTTGCTTCTGCCTTTCTCGCATGTCATACTCTGCATTGCTAAAGTCACCACCAGCAAGGCCCTCACCAGATGTGTTCCCTGGACTTTGGACTTCCCAGCCTTCAAAACTGTAAGCAATAAATATTTTTTCTTTACAAATTATCCAGTTTCAGAGACAACGTTTGTCTCCCAGTTGATTGTCACAGCTGGGAGGATGACGTGCTATGCATCTAAGGGTAGAGGCCAGGAATGTTGCTCAGTGTCCTACAGTGCCTATGACAATCCCCCACAACAAAGAACTATCCAGTCCAAAGTGATAACACTGTCAAGGTTGAGAAAATCAGCTTTAGAGTCAGAAGACACAAGCTCAAGTTCAAGCCAGCTATGTAATCCTAAATAAATCAGTTGATCTTTACGAGCCACATTTCTAAAAAGTGGTTAGCAATTCCTTATTAACAGGGTATTGTTAGGATTAATGACATAATGTACAAGTACTATGTGAACCTTAAAGGGTTTACAACATGCTAATCTCATCTTAATCCTTTTAACAAAATATTTTTTCATTTTTAAAAAACATAACGCTAAACAGAAGTATACAGGGAAAAAAATAATTACATTGCTTTGTCAGTTTGAGTAGGTGTGTCTCCAACAAGGCCAGCTGTTCATTTATTTTTTCAGGCAAAAGTATCTGCTGTGGCTTCTTAGCTTTTAGAGATTTCTTAGAAGAACCCTAGAAACATTGGTTGAATTGATAGAATGTACTTTAACATGTTACAACAACTGTCATTTTCAAATAATATTCTTAAAATTATTTTTCCATACTTTCATACTTGGTAGACAAAACTATGATATACATAGCTAAACAATACTAATTAATACTTAATGACAGTTATTGCATTCTAACTAAATGCCAGACACAATACTGTTTCATGGTGATTGACCAAAATGCTGCTTCTTTCCCCTCTCCCCCCTCCCAGTAACTTCCAACCCTCTACCCAGCCCCCTCCAATACATGCATCCTTCTTAAAGCAGCTGAGTATGTCTCTCAAAATCTTCAAAATTCCCAGCCTTCCTTCAGAAATGTATCCTTTTATTCTTTTTTTCCTTTCTTTCTTCCAGAAGGAGCTTCTTTACAACTAAACTGATTGCCTTTGCTACTTTGCCTTTCATTGAAACATAACAGGAGCAGTAATTAGTGGATTAAGAACTGGCCTGTCTGCACTCTGGGTCCCTCCAGTGTTTTCTCTGGCTGAGCCTGAGAACTAACTGGTCAAATGACCTGTTCTCCAAACTTCCAAGCCCCTGGGCTTAAAGCGAACTTGAGTGGCCCTAATGATTCCCGACTCCTGTAAATTAACAATCCCTACATTTTAGTCAAAAGGGGGTATCACAACCTTCAGCTGCAATAGGGGCTCCAAGGAGAGAGGAATGAGGTCCTGTCCTGCGATGATGTGAAGGGACGGGGTCCTGAGTGAAGGCTTTGGTGACATAAGGGAGTGGTTGATGGCTCTGAGAGTAAACACGTGGTGGGAAAAAAAATCTCAAATTGCTCCCAGCTTAATCAAAATTCCCTCTAGACAAAACAAGTACCCCCAAGAAAGCAGTGGTGATTTTTGAAGCTTTTTGGCAAACAAATGCTTACTTGGAAACTCAACATGTATAGAGGTAGAAACAAAGTGACTCTAACTGAAACGGGTCAGGGGCAGGAGTCTCTACACCCTCCCAAGCCACTAAAGGGGCTTGAAGAATTTCCTACTGCATCTCAGAAACCCAATAAACTAACATTTCAAAACTTGATCTACAAAAACATTTAACCCCATAGTTTCAAGGAAAGGCTCGCAAGACCCACGCTTGGGAGGCNCATTTCAAAACTTGATCTACAAAAACATTTAACCCCATAGTTTCAAGGAAAGGCTCGCAAGACCCACGCTTGGGAGGCAGATACTAAAAATTAGTCTTGAAAATTAGCAGTCTCATAAAGAAGAGAATTTAGTTGTCACGATGAGTTTTAGAAATCTACTTTGAAAATAAGGTATAAAACTCTGACATGTGTTTACTATATTCAATGACCCACACAGAAAAATAAAATCATAGATTTAGAAGAGACGTTGGAGGGCTTTTAGTTCAGTGTCCAACTGGGTGTAGGAAGCTCTCAATTGCTCCCCAACTGACTGTCAGTACCAGTGGTAGCAACTAGTCAGGAGGCTAGCATTTTTCTTCCACGTAAATATGACAGTGATCAATTTTCCAGTTCATGACCCTAAAAGACCCAACTAAACATATGTTTAAAAATGAGAAACAAAACACAATTACCTCCTCTGGCATTTCTTCTTCTCCATTACTACCAAATAGAGACTTGCACCCTGGTGCGATGTCCAGCATCTTTTTTCCATAATTTATAATTATTACTGCCAGGTCATATTCCTTCCATGAACGCAGAATCTAATTTAAAATGTTTATTAATTATCTCTGTTGGACACTCTTGTCTGTTTTGAAGTGTAATGCATCATCTTTCATAAACTCAAAAGTCCCATAAGTGTTTGGGGTCTAACTCCCTTGTTTTGGTTAAAGAAATTGGAAATTTACCTCCAGGTCATATTTCTCTATAATTAAAAATGCATGATTCACTATTTCAAGTGAAGGACTAATAACAGTATCTCATTAATAAAGAATTCCCCATATTTCTAGGCTATCTAGCCTTATACATTTTAGTGTAGTAAGTTAACTAGTAAGAAAATATTTCCATTCAAGAAATCCATACTAAAACAAAGTCATTCTTAAGGGCCATAAAACCACCACCTCTTTACTTGAGTTGCTTTCTACTGGAAATGGCACAATTATGGAGATGTCTTAGGTGGACATTTATAACAGTAAGTGATTCACAAGACATTCTGATAGAGGACTGGGCTAGAGATAAGGTATTTTTGGTAGATCCTCCATGAGCCCAAGGAGAAGCACCCACTACAATCATAGGAGGGAAGGGCCCACTCTGCTTCTTTCAGCCACATTCCATTTTATCAATTGTTACTCTTTGGCCTTCTCTAGCCTGGCCCTTACTTACCTTTCTAGAATAATCTTCCACCACTCTCTCCTATACTTTAATCATACAAAATTTTAAGCCAAGTATAAATTCTGACACTCACCATCGTGTTTCAGGACGTTATGCCCCCCAGCAGCTGAGCCATATGCCAGAACAGCTTTCCCCACCTTATTTGCACAGTTTCGCTTGCCATTAAAACCCTGGCTCTAGCAACAACTGCAGGAAAGCTTCTCTCATCAGCAATCTGATTTGCATAGACCCTGATACTGTGAAGGGTCAAAGAAAGGGGATGTATACATTGTGAGCCCCCTTAAGGCAACTAAGAGTATAAATAAATGTGTATGAATTTGTTATATGTACATATATTCTGTTAAGTTTAGTAAGTTAGTGTTTAAGATAAGTAAAGACTGTTACTTCTTATATAGGGAAGGGATAAAGTGGCTGAAAAATAATGAAAGGCTGCTTAGACCTGATAAGACCTAATGCTAAGAACTGGAAATATTTCTATGGGACCAGGGCAATGATGCTAAACTAATGCTGACTGTGGAACACAGTGTGGGAAGGAAAATGGTGCAATATGTTTGGAAAAGGTAGACGGAGTTAGGTCATGCATAGCCTTGAATGACCAGCAAAACAGTCCAATCTCATTATAAAATTTGTATAAGAGGAAGCAAGTTTTGTTATTAGAAAACAGAAATGAGCTATTGTTTGCTCTTTACCACTTAATTTTGCTTTCTGACAAATTTAGGTCCTTGGCTTGTAAAGAACTGTGCAACCTTTTCTCCTTGTTTTAATACGCTAGTAGAAAATAATAAATGATACAGAATTTTTTCCAATCAAAATAAAAATAGAAGACCAATTCTATTTAACATACCAAATAATGAACAGAAATAAAAAGAGTATGCCAGATGTTCAGCATAAGAATTTTATTTTTGTTTTGGTGACTGGCTGGTATAGGGATCCAAACCCTTGACCTTGGTGTTATAACACCACACTCTGACCAACTGAGCTAACTAGCCAGGCCTAGCATAAGAATTTTAAAACAATGCAAAAATAATGACACATTTAAGATGACGAATCTCAGAAGTGGAACTTTATTTGGAATTCCACTGATTTTTAGAAAAAAAAAAAACTGCTGCTTAAAGAAGAAAGATTGAACTATTTGGAAAACTTACCAACTTTTTAAAGAGAATAGAGAAAAGGAATAGAGCCATTTGTCTAATTGGGCTTTACATGTTCTAAGTGAAAATCCAATGCTGTTTATATCAAATGAACACCTGAAATCTGTATTCAGGACTAGTCCAGGATTCTGAGACTATATAGGTCTGGCTGAAGGAAGCTTCTAGAATGACAATTCTCAGCATATCAGTTTGGGAGAAAACCAGTTCAAATATCAAAATCCTGACATTAATATGTTACTTTAAAAAAATATATGTTCGGAACACTTTCGGGGTTATTTCTACAGTAACACCACTTGGATTTCACTGATTCCTCAAGTGAGGGAAGAGGAGGGTGGGGTCATGGCTGGCACCTCGGACAACACACTTAGCCAGCCCTAAAGCTGCTCTGTGTTAAGGGAGTAAATTCACTCAAGGCTGAGAGAGGTGGACTTGAACCTCCCCCAGGCCCCAGATGCTGGTTAGAAACCCTATTTATTCTAGGTGAGCACTCCCATCTTCTACAGTGGCTGTCCCAAACCCTCCCGTTCTTCTCAAATCTTTGAAATCCACCCTTACTTCTCCACTTTCTCACTATCAGCAAATGACCTTGCTTCCTTTCCACAGAGGAAATGAAGGGGAACTAGCTTATCGGCCATTCACAAACCTATCAGCACACTCACCTCTAACTACAACCACCCTTCCCCCCAGTGAGAGGAGAGAGGCCAACCTCCTGCCCAGACTGATCCCTACCACATGTGCTGGGACCCCACTGCCTCCTGCCTCAGGGATCGTGCTCAGGGATCGTGCTCTAGTCACTCTCCTCTCTTATACCCTCATCCTTTCCCTCGTCTGGCTCCTCCCCATCAACATTAAAATGTTTTTCAGTACCTGGATAAGCAGAATTGATTATTCTTATTGAAACATGATTGATTACACATAGTTGTGGGGTACACAGTTGAATATCAATACCCGTGTACAATATGTGATGATCAACTCAGGACAGTTAAAGTATATTCATCATTAGAAAACGTCATCATTCTTTGTGACCTTTAACCAATTTCTTGCTAAACCCCCCACCCCTTTCCCACCTCTAGTAATCTGAGTTCTGTTCTCTCCTTTTGAAAGTTCAACATATTGTTGTAATTGTTGTTTCTTTCTTTCTTATTTATTTATTATTTAATTGTTTAGCTCCCACTTGTGAGTGAGGGCATGCAGTATCCCTCTTTCTGTGTCTGGTTTATTTCACTCAACATAATTTTCTCCAAGCTCATCCATGTTCCTGAAAATGGCAGAATTTCATTCTTTCTATCGCTGAGTAGTATTCCACTGTGTATATATTCCACATTTTCTTTATCCAATCATCCACAGATGGACATTTAGAATGGCAGAAAATATGTGTGAACTACACAGCCAACAAGGGATTAATATCCAGAATACACAAGGAATTCAAACAACTTAACAAAATTGATTTTTTGGTTGGTTGCTTGCTTGCTTTGTTTGGAATAGAGTTTCTTTGTTTTGGAAGAAAACACCGCAGTAGCCCCTGTTCATTATTTAAATGTAAAGTGAGTAGTTGTTTTCAGTGTCCTGGAAGGAGAGTGCAAACTGGCCTTCCCTTATTTTAAAAAGACATCCCTCCCTTGGAAATACTGATTGATGAAAGAGTTTAAGGGGGAAAGGCCAAGCAGATGAATATTCTCTAAAGCAAAGTAACCTTGGAAGGTGCACTTTGGCCCAGCAGAAGAGTAATTAGTACGTATGTAATTATAGCAATGGAAAAAGAAAGGGTTGCTTCACATTGTGTGGGACCCCTGCTTTCAGTGGTTACACCATGTGACAATGACAGAACTAATAACAGGAACATTCTCAAGGTGGGGAGGAATTAAGAATGACAGAACACCTTTGAATTAATCACCTCTCCAGTTCTCCCTCTTGCCTAGGGTTTAGAAGCAGGATTGACCCCTCGGACTAAATGCACCCTTGAGATTCTTAGATAATTCTAATCCCTTCTCACTCTACACACTATCCCCAGGTGATATCACCTATTTCTGTCACTTCAATTGTAGTCCATATGTAGACCATGACTCCTTTGTCTTCTATATATATTTGGCCTCTCCTAAGCTCCAGGCCTATAGGTCCAAATACATAATGGCCACTTCTTTGGATATCCTATAGACTCGAAAATTCAATCTGTTCAAAACTCATTATCATCTCCCCATTTACTCTACAAAATTACTCTTCATCCAGCGTTCAATGAATAGTATTGCTTTCACCCAATGCCCAAGCCAGGTAGCTGGATATTACTATTGACTCTTCCTCGTCCTTCCTTTATCCCCTATATTCAAGAGATTTTCAGATTCTCAATTCTATCTCATAACTCTTGAATCCTCTTCATTCTCTCTACCTCCCACTTTTTCCACAGTAGTTTAGTTTATCATCTCATCCCCTGCCTCAGATCTTATCCTCCTCTAATTATTAGTTGTTGTGCAACCAGAATAATTCCTTTTTCCTAAAATGCATATCTCATTATGTCATTCCTGGATTTGGAACCCTTCAATGGCTCCTCTTTGACTTCAGAAGATGGCCATCATCACCTGGTACCTGTTCACTGCTCTGGCTTTTAAAGAAACTGAAATGTTTAATTACATCCTCCATAATCAAAGATAAACTTGGTTCTTTTCTTCCCAAACTGTAAAATTGTTTCTTCTTTTCTCATTGATCACTCCTTGAGACAATGTTAATAATCTTATAACTGTCATATATTTTTCCCAACCTAATATTTGTCTTTAAGCTTTGCTTTATAGTGTCTTGCCATAAAAAATGTTTTATCATGTAATCTAATTATTGGCCTTTTTCTGTGTACCTTTTTAATTTTGTGCCTTGTTGAGGAAGATGTCCCCTGACTCCATGGCCAGACAAATATCCTTCAGTCCATCTGGACTTTATTTCGCTTAAGGTGTGAGGTAGGACTCTGGCTTTGTTTACTTTCAGATGAATAATCAATTATATCAGCACCTTTCATTAAACAGTTATAATAAGCTATCATTTTCTCAGTGAATCAAATTGCTACCATTGTCATAAATTTATTTATTCAGTAGACTTGGGGCTATTCCTGGACTCTATGCTATTGCATTGATCTATTTGCCCATTACTCTGTTAACACCATTTTTTATTGAAGTAGCCTTATGATAAATTTTAATATCTATTGAAAACTTTTAGATTATTCTAATCAGTCCCAGAGA